ATTCATTTATTTTTCCCCCAAAGCCCCACTAGATAGCTGTATGTCATAGTTGCACGTCCTTCTAGTTGCTGTATGTGGGACGTGGCCTCAGCATGGCCAGAGAAGTGGTGCGTCGGTGTGCGCCCGGGATCCGAACCCAGGCTGCCAGCAGCAGAGCACACGCACTCAACTGCCAAGCCACAGGGCCCGCCCCACAATGCTAAAATTTAAAGTATCGATTACATCAAGTGTTGACAAAGATATGGAGCAACTGGAACTCTCATATACTGCTGGTGGGAATGTGAAATGTTACAGCCACTTTGGAAACTGGCTATTCTTAAAAAATTAAAGATATACCTTACATACTACCCAGCCATTCCACTCCTCGATAGTTGCTCAAGAAAAATGGAAGCCTATGTCTACACAAAGAAGGAACATGAGGAAACTTTTGGCGGTGATCGATATATTCATTGTCTTGATTGTGGTGATGGTTTCATGGGTGTATGCATCTGTCAATATTCATCAAATTGCACAGTATAAATATGAGCAACTAATTGTCTATTATATTTCAATAAAGCTGTAAAAGTATATCAGTTAAGATGTCTTTGGTTGCAAATCACAGAAAAACCAACTCACAATGGCTTAAAGGAGAAGAAGGATTTCAATTTAAATTTCCACAGTTAACAATTAGAGTAGAGAGGGGTTGCTTCAGGATTGGTTAAATCAGTGGCTCAATGACATCATCAAATCCCAGGTTAGTTCCATCTTTCCACTGTGTTACTCTCAGTTTTTGCCTTAGTTCTTGCTCTGGTTTCCGTGTTGGGTTGCAAAATGGCTGCCACAGTTCCAGACATCCCACCCAGACTCAACATTGTCTACCACCTAAATTTAAACCCTGACCAATTCAGGCCCTAACAGGCTGCTTGGTTGCTTCTATGGGTGTGGCTCACATGGAACTTGCTACTAGGTTGTGGGCTTCTCTTGGGGGAAGAGTTTAGGGTAAGCAGGAGCAGACCTCACTAGAGCTGATCAGGGAAACTGAGCCTCAAGCTCATCTAGTTTATTACTCCAGCTTTTTGCAATGGAGTCGCTACTGCTCTATGGCAACAACAAGAACCTCATGGAGCTAGTCACATTTCTGAGAACATCATTAGATGGTTTTCTTGAAAACAGAGGAACAGTGCAGCACTGTGGTCCACCCGGTGCTTTTCTTCTGCTCCCTATACTCACGACAAAAATCTTTCCTCCCATAGTTTTTAATTGTAATTTAATTAATTAATTTATTTTTCCCCCAAAGCCCCAGTAGATAGTTGCATGTCATAGCTGCACATCCTTCTAGTTGTTGTATGTGGGATGCGGCCTCAGCATGGCCGGAGAAGCGGTGTGTCGGTGCGCGCCTGGGATCCGAACCTGGGCCGCCAGCAGCAGAGTGTGCGCACTTAACCGCTAAGCCACGGGGCCGGCCCCCTCCCATAGTTTTTAAAACATATAAAGGTAAGGTGGGGGTTTAACAGAGAGGATTCTAGGAGTCCCAAGCTTAAATGCCTATAAGGGCTGTAGGCCCTTGTGAATCTGACCAGATGTAAGACTATAGGGAGTGGTGAGGCCTTTGGTGATCAGTACAACCCTGCCCACCAAAAAATAGAGCATGGGAAAATAAAACCTCTATGGGCCAGTTTGAGACCCCTGGAGGAGTCTGAGAATAAGGGATGTGCATTAGTTTCTGACTGCTATTGTAACAAATTGCCACAAATTTAGTGGCTTAAAACAGCACAAATTAATTTTCTTATAGTTCTAGAGGTCAGAAGTCTAACAGCAATGTGTTGGCAGGGCTATGTCCCTTCTGGAGGCTTCAGAGAAGAATCCATTTCCTTGCCTTTTGCAGCTTCTAGAGGCTGCTTGCTTTCCTTGTCTTGTGGTCACTTCTTGCATCATTCCAACCTCTTGCTTCTGTTGTCACATCAGCTACCCACTCTGATCTCCTGCCTTCCTCTTGTAAGGACTGTTGTGATCACATTGGGCCCACCCAGATAAGCCAGGATAATCTCCCCATCTCAAGATCCTTAACTTAATGACATCTGCAGAGTCCCTTTACCATGTAAGATAACATATTCACAGGTTCCAGAGGTTAGAATGTGGACATCTTTGGGGACCATTATTCTGCATACCACACAATATGAAAGCTTAACTGGCTGGTCATCTGTTCTCTGAGGGGCCATAGAACCTCCTGGGAAGGGGTTGAAGAGCCTAATGGAGGGGCTTGGTGTGGACTGAAGGCTGGGCCATAGAGGTGTGACCTGGGATGCAAGGTTGGAGCCTGGGAAGGTGGTGTCCTGTGAGCACTCTATCAGGGCCATGCAGTTCAGGAAAGTCCTGAGTGTGCCATCCTGGCCAGGAAGTGCTCAGAGCTGCAGGTAGAGAAACTAAAGGTGGCCACAAAGCCCTACTAACCTTGTGGTCAAAACTGGGGACAGCATCTGAAGCCACTGGAGTGAGGCATGACAGTATCAGAACTCAGGTTCAGGGCCAAGGAGAGAAGATGAGATGTGAGCCGGTATTCTGGGGATGACTCCTTGGGGAGATAGGTTAGAAGTCACCTACTGGTCACTTAAAAGTGGGAGGAAGGTAGGGTTCCACTTGGTGGAGGGCATGGGATGAATGTAGGAAGTCCCAGTCCCGGAGCTGGAGAAACGGATTCTGTGTAATGGTGTGAGCTGTCTGAGTCAGCACCAGAGCTTGTACCAGTTGAGGGGGGTGGGTGGTGTGCATCTGGGGAAGGCCAGGGGCTGGCTCTAGTTGAGGCAGATGCAGATACCAGGTGATCTAAGCACAGACATGAGACACCCACAGGAGTCAGAGCATGTCAGAGTTGCTGGTAGGGTTCTGAGGCAGGGGTAGGGCAAGACACTGGTCCCAAGACCCCCAGATCTGCAGAAGCAGGGCTAGATCCAGGTGTCCTGCCTGCCACTCCCAGTCCTGCCTGCCTGCTCAAGGCTGGTGAAGAAGCTATCCCAGGAGCCCATCGTCAGCCATGATGGCGGCGCTGCCTGACAAATAGCAGCAGACATGGGACTGGTGGCCCTTGGGCATGTTACTGGGTCCTACGATGGGGAACATGGGCAGTTTCAGCACCATGGGGGGACACCAAGGCTCCATATGTTCCGGGAGGTGGGGTGGGCCATGGTGATTTTGGCCCTGCCCAATTTGTCCTGGTAGTCCGGCTGTCCGAGCTGCCGTGAGCTGTCCCAGGGCTTTGTGGCTTTTTCAGGGGAGCTCCAGGCCACCTCCCCTCTCCAGGCTGCCCTGACTCAGCTCGAGCCCTAGGGTCCCGTCTGGAAGGCAATGTGTACAGATGTCGCAATGAGAGGTGTGGACTTTCCTCAAGGGATAAAGGGCTGGGGGGCCGGGTCGCTGCAGGGGAAAGAGTAAGAGGCAGTGTGCCAGGAGACAAGCATGACGGAGCAAGCACATTTATGGGACGTCACCGCTGGCCGCTCACTCCTGCCACCCGTGAGTGCAAATAGGGCTGCCTTTTCCACGCAGCCCATGCTTCTCCGAAGTGAGCTCCTTTGCTGACGCCAGTGATCGGATATCCCTGTCTTTTCCTGACTGTGACTCCTCAACTGCCTTCCATCCCTCCTTTCACGTGGTTCTTACCAGGATCCCTTCTCTCCTCCCCCTTACTCTTCTCTCCCTCTTTTCAGCCCAAGAGGGAGGAGAGGAAGCCAAAGTCTGGGTGCCTCACAGCTCTGAGCAGTGAAGGGGCCAGGCACACACATTCCTGAGCGGCATTGTCTGCATTCTAATCCTGACTGTAATTTACTAGCTGTGTGAGCTTGGGCAAGTGACTTAACCACTCTGTGCCTCAATTTCCTTATCTGTAAAATGGGGGATAATAATAGTACCTATCTGGGCCGGCCTGTGGCTTAGCGGTTAAGTGCGCGTGCTCCGCTACTGGCGGCCCGGGGTTCGGATCCCTGGCGTGCACCGACGCATGGCTTCTCCGGCCATGCTGAGGCCGCGTCCCACATACAGCAACTAGAAGGATGTGCACCTATGACGTACAACTATCTACTGGGGCTTTGGGGGAAAAAAAAAAAAAGGAGGAGGATTGGCAATAGATGTTAGCTCAGAGCCGGGCTTCCTCAGCAAAAAAAAAACGCGGAGGATTAGCACGGATGTTAGCTCAGGGCTGATCTTCCTCGCAAAAAAAAAAAAAAAAAACTGTTAAAAAAAATAGTTAAAAAACAATAGTACCTATCTCTAGAAAGTTACTGGGAGGATTAAATGAGTTAATATATGCAAAGTGCTTAAGACCGTGCCTGGCACCAAATTAGCACTCAGTGCTGGCTCTCTCTGGCTGGGTTCTACCCTCCCCTTTCTCTCCTCTCTCCCCGACACCAGCCCAGGGCCCTCAGGAGGCAGAGCAGCAAAGAAAGCCCAGGACGAGTGGCGGGAAGGATTAGGGTAGCTGGCGGGCTGAACCTCCAGCCGCGGAGCTGGAAGTTGCAAACTGGTTTCCAGTCTGGATCCTGCTGGAATCTGGAGGAGCAGGGCCCAGCACCTGAAGTCACAGCCGCTGGCGTCCTTTTTCTCCCCACTTGCGGCCAGAGGTTCTCACCCGCCCTCCCAGAGGGGGAGGAGCCCGAAACAAAGCTTCTGATTGGCTGCTTACATTTTGGTCCCTTGTCAATTTTCAGTCTGAAGGGGAAGGGGAGGGGCGCAAGGTATTTTAAACTAGCAGAAATATTTGAATAGGTTAGGGAAGAAGGGAGGGAAGCGGGAGGAGAGGAGGGGCAGTGGCCGCGGCCGAGGTAAGGAATTCTTCTCCAATTGCCTGGGATGGTTCGTAAAGTCCTGGGGGTTGAGGGGTGGGAACGACTGTATACCCTTTTGGGCTGGAAGTTGGCTGATGCGGAGAGGCTGTTACATTTGCGACAAGAGAGACAAAGGGAGATGCTGCACACAGACAAACCTTTTAATGATGTGGTCTCAGTGGAGTCTCTTCAGAGAGAGGGGCCCCGGGGGGAGGTGCTTCCCTGAACCACAGCCCTGACACTGGGCTGCCATTCCCCCTTCCCCCTCCTCATGTGGGTGGCCCAGGACCTGTGGGACCCTCACTCCCTTTAGGGTTCTGTGAGGCCCCTTCTGGTGCTCAGAGTCCATTCTTCTCCCCTGCTGAGGCCTGGAGTGGGACCATCTGCTTCTGCTGCTCTTGCTGCTGTCGCTTCCGATTCCCTTTCCTCCTGGGGGAAGGAGAGTGGTGTCTTGGGTATGCAGCCTCCAAGCCAGGGCTGAGAGCTGGGGGCTCCTGGGGGCTCTCCACTCAGCTGTGCCCAGCTGCTAGCTCTCTGCCCCCAAACATCTACTGCTCCCTGGAGCTGGGAGGCCCAGAAAGGCCTCTAGGAGACTCTCACCCGATTGGAGGAAATAGGGACAAAGAGCCCTGGCCGGGAAGAGGAGGCCTGGGTTTGAGTCTCAATGCCACCCCAGCCTGGATATGTGACTTGGGGTCAGTCGCTGCCCCTCTGGATGGGGGCTCACCTGTTTTCCACGTCCTGCACAGTGTCCGGCAGTGGCTGGCCCAGGGTCTCCGGCAGGAGGGCAATGGCAGCGCTGGCAGCCATGGGGACAGCGCCGTAGATAAAGAGAGGCACGGAGTGGTAGAGCTCGGCGGTCATGCTCACCAGTGGGCTCACGATGCTGCCCACTCGGGCCATGGTGCTGCCCATTCCCATGCCTGTCTGCCTGCGGGGCCCCAGAGGGGAGTGTCAGTTAGTGTACTGGCATGAAGGCCCAGATGCCCAGGCACCCCTCGTGCCTCCTCTGTTCCCCATTTGATTAGCAAACCAATTTGGCATTTGTTTTAGAGATTAAAAAAACAAAATAAAACAAAACAGGTTGGGAAGGGCTCTGGCCAGAGAATCAGGAGATTGCATTTTGCCTCTGCCCTTAACTTGCTATGTGACCTTGGCCATGTCCTTTTTCCTTTCTGGGCCTCAGTTTCCTTGGCAGTCAAATTAGACAGTAGACAGTTGAGTTAGGCCATTCGTTCTCAGATCACCTGGGAGATTTTTGAGTTATGGTTGCCCCAGCCCCACACAGACCTATTAGATTAGAATCCCCAGGGGAAGGGACCTGGAGTGACATGTTAAGAACATTCTCCGTGAGAGCAGAGGTTAAAAACATTGACTCAGAAGACAAACTGCTTGGGTTCAAATCCAAGTTTCCTCACTTATGAGCTATGTGACCTTTGACAAGTCGCTTAACCTCTCTGTGGCTCAGTTTTCTCATTTGTAAAACGGGAATAATCATAGTACCTACCACAGAGGCTTATTATGAGGATTAAGTGAGTTGATATTTGTAAAAAATTTAAGACAGTGCCTGGCACGTAGGAAGTGCTTTATACTATTGTTCTGTCCCCTGAAATTCCATGAGGGCACAAGAAGTAACCATGACCCCTCAAGGTTCTCATTCCAAGAAGCTTAGGGAAGCCTGACATGTCTTTGACATCTCCTGTGAATTTTGTGTCCCTCTCTTAAAACAGACATGTGTTTCTTGTTTCTTAATGCAAAAGTACTCCCTCCCCCCAGTCTTGGCCTGGAAAGAGCAGTGCTGCGTTTCTCTATACAGCTGGCAAACTATCAAGTACCACCATTATGAAGTGTGGCTCCTGTGATAGGAAATGATTTTTATGTTTGTGGTCTTTGTTTTCAGATGTACCACTTGGTTTATAGCTGAAATTTAGATTTGGTGGCAGATTCTAACACGTGCTTTGAAGATCAAGGGGGGACGTCAATTTGTTGCCTCTGAGGTGTGTCTTCTTGGCTGCCTTCCCTACTTCCCTGCCCCAACTGGTGGCTTCTTTTGAGATCTTCTTCTGGAGTCAGATAAGGGCTTAGTGGGGGCCACACCTGTGTTAGCCAGGCCATGAAGTGTGTATTGAGTGGCTGCTATATATCTTGCACAGATGGGTGCTGGGGCATAGTGGACTGTGTTCTGGGGTCTGACCTGTGTGCAGGGGAATGTTTTGCTCCAAGACACACCCATTGGATTCTCACTCACCGGACCATCGTGGGGTACAGCTCCCCAGTATACAGGAAGATGCAGTTGAAGGAGGAAGCCAGGCAGCCCTTCCCCAGCACAGCAAAGAAGGTTCTGACAATGGACTGATCTAGGGAGAGAGAAGGGGGGCCAGCGGGAGCTCGGGAGTTGGGGCTGGGAGGAATTAGCCCCCCTCCCTTCTGAGAAACTGGATCATGTCTGGGGATGGGCCAAAGATGAGGGACCTAGGTGCTCACCCTGGGGTACCACCGCATTCACCAGGATGCAGACGCCCGCCAGGAACAGTGAGGCCATCTGGGCAGGCCGGCGGCCCAGGAAGTTGATGACAAGGAAGCCCACAAGCTTGGCAGGCAGATCCACAGCACCAAAGATCACCTGGATTAGGTAGATGCTGACCCCAAAGCCCTGTAGGTCCATGACCAGCCCATAGTAGGCAAAGCTAGTGGCAAACCTAGGGGGGAGGGATGAGGGGTATGGAGTTTGATAGGAAGCCTTAAAGGAGGGAGGGGTGCTCATTGAAAATAGGGATGAGCCGCATTGAGTACCCTGCTTAAGAAGCTGGAATCTGCCTTGGCTAATATTTCCTCAGACATTTAGTATGCAGTTTAAATATTGGGGTGGTCCTCCCATACCCCAAATTTCTCAATCTTCTGGTAACTAGTGTCCCCAGTGTATTAGCGAATTTTCACTTAGCTGCTATGTGGGATTTACATAGTTTTAGTCTTTATCTTATCTATTGCTACTGGACTGAGGGAGGGCAAGTGGCTATCCATATCTTCAAGGCCAAGATGTTGGGAGATGCCAGAGCCTTCCAGGACCTGTCCACGGTCCTGGAATGGGTGTTGTGCTTTTTAAGATATCAAGAGCCCACAACATGAAACTCGGGTGACTGGATAGAACCCACAACCTGGAGTAAATCCCAAATTGGAAGCAAAGGATTCATTGATAAGATTGTTCCTTCTGATCATGCTTCTCTTAATTGTCATGGGATTGCTATGGTGGTGGGATTGGGAGGGTGGCACAAAGGAAGGGTAATGGGGATGTTGCAACAGGAAAGGAAGATTTTTGGCTGATAGAAGCCCGGGCCAAATTGTATTTTTGGAGATGAGCTTTAGGCATCTCACTGCCTGGGCCTGTATTTCTGGCAGGCACCACAAGGCCAGTCAAGTGTCCCAATGTTTTGCAAGCCAGACTGGTCTCTGCCTTCATGATGTAATACTATTAACTCTAGGCCACCAGTCCTGATGAGGTGTTTCCATATTGGAACAGAGTTGGTAAAAAGAGAAGAAGATGGAGACACTGTTGCCCACTGTGGGGACTGGAACTGAACTGAGGCTGGAGCTCATCTGATTCTTCAAGACTCTCCCTGGTGGAGGGTTACTGCCCCTCATAGCAGGTCCGCTGACTTTTCCTCCCTCTTGTCTAGCTTCATCCACCCATTGCATCCACTCTCTCCCAAGTCAGCTGTTTTGTCTTCTGGTCTATTTGTCTGTCAGTCTGTCTGTCTCGGCCTACCATAGCAAGGAGAGACAGAGGAAGAGGCGGCGAAGGGTGGGGCAGCGCAGCAGCTCCATGGCCGAGGCCTGGCCTTTGCCCATGGTCAGCTCCTTCTGCAGACTGGCCCGGATCACCTGCCAGGATGGGCAGGGCTCAGGGCCTGGACTCCTCCAGGAGCGCCTCCCAGCCTAACCCCTTACTCAGGGAAGCCCTCTTGGGGGTGGAGTCCTGGTGGGGTGTCATGGGAGATGTCTGGGGTCTCACCTCTATACTTAGCTTGGCTCCCTCTTCCTGCTTCCCATTGATCCAGGCCACTCTTTGTAGCGACCTCAGGGTGAGGTCTAGCCTCCCGGAGGAAACTTGCCAGCGGGCAGACTCGATGAAGAACCTGGGAGCGGGGGGTGGGGGTGGGTGTTGGTATGGCTTCAGTTCCAGTTGGCTGGGCTGGGGGCAGGGGGTAGGCTTTCCAGGGGCCTGCAGTGGGATTTTATTTAAGGCTGGGAACCCGGGGGCTTTGTCAAATCTCTTTCTCTAGGACCACAAAGCAGTGCCCAGCTTGGTGACGATTCATTCCCCAATGAATGAAGCTCAGCTCTTGGGTGCTGGGCAAAGGGAGCAGTACAGACAGGCTGGAAACTGGAGGAAGCTGGGGGAAGCTGCAGAATGGATACCCTGGACCAAATCTCTCCTCCCACAGCCTCAGTTTCCCCATCTGTCACACTGAGTCATTGACCTGGGTTTGACCTTCTGCCTTTGACCTTCTCTATTCTATGGGGTGGAGTGTGCAGCAAGATCTGGGGGATATCTTGTCCTTTGCAGCCATCTGTGCTCCTGTGGCACCCCCACCCTCTCTGGGCCCCATGTACCAGGAGTAGATAAAGAAGGCGAAAAAAGGTGCAGAGACGAGCAGCTGCAGGTGGCGCCAGTGGGGCACGGCATAGGCCACACCTGCCAGGAGAAACTGGCCCAGGCTGTAGGTGTAGCCCATCAGGGTGCCCACATAGGCCCGCGTGTGGATGGGCATCCACTCCACATCTGGAAAAAGGGTTAGAACAGAATGGTGCAACTTCCCAGGCTACCAGGTGGAGACCCCTGGGGCAGGCAAAGACCCCTCTCTCCATCCAAACCTTGGTCTGCCCCAAGGCTTAGTGGAAGATACATCAAATGAGGTTGGATACCATGGTAGAGGAAGTGGGGTACTTTCAGGGGAGATGGGGATGGGGAGGTGGTTTTGGAATCCCCAGGAATTGTCCCCTTCCATTCCCCTGCTGTGTGTTTGCTCCCCCCCAACCTACTGTCCTGGCTAGGGGCCCCTTTCCATTCACTGTGTCTCTGACCACTCAGTCCATCCTCAGCAGCAGCCACTCCTCTGGTCTTCCTCAGACTGGGCTGGATTCCAGCCTCAGTGGACAGAGCAGCTCGGAGGAGGCAGTGGTGTTCCTCCATCCTGGAGATTTGAGGTGGGAGTGGGACCACCTCTCTGCTGCAATCTAAAGACCCAGCTCTGTTACTTGTGAGCTCCTGATTTGGCTGCTGGGCCAGCCGCTTGGAAACTTAGACTGGGCTTTGAGGCTGGATTCTAGGTGTCCTGCCCTGGCCCCAGCCCAGCCTGATTAATTTCTTTAGTCTAGAGAATCCTAAATCCTTAGATTCCCTTCTGGGCTTGAGGGATGACCTTGGGTAAATCCTTTCCCTTCTCTGTCTCAGGTTCTTCATCTGAGAAACAGGGGGAAGGGAGGTCATCTATCAGAGGATGCATATTGATGACTCATGGACAGGCCATGCTCAGTCCATAAATGTATTCGGTCTACATGATGCTGGCTTGCCCTATGTTAAAAATATTAGAATTAATTGCCAACATTAAAAAATTGGGATATTTTACATCAATAAAAGCAAGAGGGGGAGATGTGACAGCCCTGAGACCTCCTGGCTGGAGCAGCTGAATGGCTGTGGCCCCTCTGGATGGGTGTGACTCTCCTTTGGATACAGTCCTCACTGCTCCCTAATGTCTCTTGTATCCGGTCTCCTTCAGTGATTTAGAGGAACTGCCTGGCCCTAACAATGGAGTTTGCAATCCTGTATCTAAAAGAGGGATCAGGATGGCGTAAGCCTGAGAAAAGGGCTGTTATGTTGGCTGGAAGGGCAGACCTAAAGGACAGGCCAAGGGCAGCAGAGCTCAGGAGGGGTGGGCGAGGAGAGGAGGCTGGGAAGGGGCTGCTGGACTGGATGGTCAGAGGGGAGTGGGTAGGGACCAGCCTGGGCCTCCCAGCATCCCTCACTCAGTGTCATGCAGTTGAGGGCGATGCCAGCCAGTGACATGCCCGAGAGGAGCCGGAAGACACAGTAGACGGAGAAGTTGGGAGCGAAGGCTGTACAGGTTCCTGACACGGCTGTCTGCAGGTAGTTCAAGATCAGCACCTTCCGGCGGCCCAGCCTGTGGGGGAGGGAAGACCTGCAGCAGGGGTCCTGAGGACCAGCGGAGACTAGGCTGGGCAGGGAAAAGAGTGCTTGCCCTGGTGAGGCCCTGGGGTGGGGGTCTTTTGAGGACCTGTGCAGAATCATGAGGCTGGCGCTATAGGTCTTCAAACCAGCCCCAGCTGGGAATGCCAACCTCCCACCTAGGCCCCCCTGAGCCCAGCCAAGGAGCCCCCAATCCCAGCCCGGCCCCGAGGCCCCACCCAGGACTGACCTGTCTGATAGGGACCCGAACACCATGGCTCCGAAAAGCACCCCTACCATGTACAAGGACTGACCCAGCTGGCGTAAGGCCCTGTGAGAGCACACGAGGTCCCACTGTGGGGAGAGGGGGACAGGCGTCAGGCAGAGACGAGCCTGGGCTGCAGGGCAGCCCTTACCCTCCTTCAGGCTGCCCTCTGAGGTCTGTGGCCCCTTCTTCTCCTGACAGTTCTCTTTGCTGTTTGTCTCCCTGGTCCCAGGGGCTGAGAGACTTTTCTTGACTCTGTGACTCTCACGTCTGCCTTTCCTACAAAGGGCCCCATCTTGAACTCCTTTCTCCATCTTCCCATCTTGGCCTCTGGAGAATTTGAGACAGCCTGTGCGTGTGTGTATGTGTGTGTTTGTCTGTCTGTCTGTCTCAGAGAGGAAGGCACAGTCTGGACGGCGCATGGAGGGTATCCTCCCAGGTATCCTCACCTCAGTCACGATGGTGGAAGGGAAGGTGCTCTTGTCGTAGATCCAGCCATCAGTGCAGGGCTCTGTGGCCCCTGTGCTGTTGGCCCCGGTGCCATTGGACGAAGGTGGTCCCTGTTGCGGGGAGGTGAAGCGGAGGCAGGATTCAGGCCGCCCCTGCCTGTCCCGGGGCAGCCAGGCCTCCAGCTCCCTGTCCTTGCTGAGGTTGGCATCGGCAGGTGGGCGGCAGTGGTGGGTGGGGATGGCGGCGGTGAAGTTCTGCAGGGTGTTTTGGGAGGCCATCAGGAGCAGGGGGAGGACCACTAGAGTGACCTGGATCTTCTGGAAGCGGCCGACGCCCCCCACTTGCTTCAGGAGGTCATTGAAGGCCATGGGGCCAGGCCCGGCTGAGCTGCCGGGCTAAGGACTTCCAGTCCTGGCACCACCGTCTGTGTGTCTGTCTGCGGGCTGTCCTTCACCGAGGAGAAGGGCTGCCGTTGCTTCCGCAGCTGAGTTGCTCCTAGAGCTGAATCTGAGCCGGCTCTGTGGGGGAACAGCAGCCTGGCCGGGCTGCCCCTCCTTCCTTCTCTCTCTCCTTGTTCTGTCCCTCCCTTTCTCTTGCTGCCTCTCCTCACTTGGGGGCAGGGGTCTCAGCTTTCAGGGTCTGCTGTAACCCTGGCCCCTACATGGGCAGTATTTAATCCTTGGCCTGGAGGGAATGAGTTAAAGTGTGACTTGGTATCAGAAGGATTAACCCTCCAAGTATCCTTGTGTCAGTGGAATTTCTCCAAGTGGGTATAAAGGGCGGGAGAGGGTGGACTGAAGTGGGGGTGGTGGGAGGGCATGTCCTGGGAGGGCCATCTGGGCATCCGGGGGCAGAAGGAGCAGGCTGGGACCTTTCTGTCTTCCTTTTAGTGAGAAGACTGGCCTCTGCAGAGTGTGGTGGCCTCTTAAGGGGCTTGTGTCCTTTTTACGTGGACAGGATCCAAATAGTCTGTTTTCGGGAGGAGTTGCCAGAGAAAATACAGGACACCCAGCTAATTTGAATTTCAGATCAACAAATAATTGTTTCTTTTAGTGTAAGTATGTCCCTAATATTAGATGGTGCATACTTATACTAAAAAATTATTCATTGATCTGAAATTTCAATTTAACTGGTCATCTTGTATTTTTTTTTTTTTTGGTAGAAGATTGGCCCTGAGCTAACATCTGTTGCCAATCTTCCTTCTTTTTTTCCTTCCCAAAGCCCCAGTAAATAGTGGTGTGCCATAGTTGCCCTTCTAGTCGCTCTATGTGGGAGGCCGCCTCAGCATGGCTTGATGAGTGGTGTGTAGGTCTGCACCCAGGATCTGAACTGGCGAACCCCAGGCCACCGAAGCAGAGCGTGGGGACTTAACTGCTATGCCACCGGGCTGTCCCCTGTATTCTTATTTGCTAAAATTGGCAACCCCGGACTTTGGTCTTCTGGGGACAGCTCACATCTTATAAGACCACAGTTTTGTTCAACTGGAAGAAACAATGGAGATCAGAGGCTGCTTTTGAAGGAGTAGGACCCAAGACTAACATCACACGTGATGTAGAATGATTCTTCCAGTGTCTCAGCTCTCGCCTTCTTGCTTTTCCCCATTCAAATTTGTTGTCTTCTGTCCATAGGTTTTTTTTTTTTTTTTTTTGCAATGAGCTTGAACTCATTTTATTTTTAGCTACAACTCTAAGACAGTCACTTGATTTCCACCAACAGTTTGGTTCCCTAGTCCTGGTCACTCATGATCTGGCAGTGCCGAGCTCTGATTGGATGGGTTTCTATGAGATCTGATGGGTTGGATCATGGGTTGGAGGGTGCCAAGAGAGCAGGTTGCAGCAGCTTGCTGTTAATTTGCATAATGCATATTATATAAAACATGGATCTGGAGTCAGTCTACTTGGATCCAAATCCTCATTCCACACTTACTGGCTGTAGAGCTGGGTTGAGTTGCTAAACCCCTCTATACCTCAACGTCCTTATTTGCAAGATGTGGGTAATAGTTGTGTCTGTGTCATTGGGTTGTCGGAAGGTTAAATGAGAGAACACAGGCAAAGATCTTAAAGTAGCCCTTGCCCTGTAGCTCAGAGATTACGAGCTGTTCTTATGATCTGTTTCTGGTACAAGGGTGAGACTCTCACGTTGATTTTAGAGAGAAAATATATGTAGGCACGTCTTTGCCCTAAGAACAATGATTCTCCATTGGGGGCGATTTTGCCCCTGAGGGGACATTTGGCAATGTCTGGAGACATTTTTGGTTGTCACCACTGGGGGCGATGGTGCTACTGGCTTCTAGTGGGTAGATGCCAGAAATGCTGCTGAATGTCCTACAATGCACAGGACAACCCCCAACAACCAAGGATTATCTAGACCCCAAATGTCAATAATGCTAAGGTTGAGAAACCCTACCCTGAAAGATGTCTCAAACTTATTTTGTATGGTGATCAATCCCACACCTATTTGGCAAAAGGTATTAAAGTCAAACAGATGACTTCTACCAAAATATTTCTAAGAAACTCCACACTCTTGTTTGAGGGGGAACACTTTTGCAAGGTGAGGAAGAGAACTCCTTCTCCTCCATGTTGTGCTTGAGGACGGTAGGGCTCCAAAGTGTCACAGCTCTTTCCCTGCCCAGGCTTACCATTCAGTTTTGCCACTGGAGTGGCTGAATCTGGACCCCGATCTTTCTGTGTCCAGCCTGACACTCTTCTCCACCATGTTTTAACTCCGCTGTTTGGTTTGGGTTACCATGCTAGACTCTTCTTTCCCCTTTGTGGTGTGTTTCCATTTGGGGTCTCTGGCTATCCCTCTCTGCATCTTATTGACTATCCCTCCACCCCACTTCATCAGATATATTGGCATATGTCTGAACACAATGGATAATTAGGGTTCTGTAGTTTTACAGGAGGTGCCACAGGCCCTGAATCATTAGCTGCTAGAAAGGGCCATGAAGGAAAGGAGCATTTCTTGATTATTCTGGGCGCAAATCTCCAAGTCTTGTTGAGATGAAGCAGGTTGATTTCTGACTTCTCTTGTAAGGAGTCAAGATGCCCTGTTATTGTTGTGCAGTTTACACAAACTGCATTTTTGTGTATTAAGTTGGGAGGGTGTTTACTGTCTTTTGAGGCCCTGGGTGGGATATGTGAGGTCTTAGACTGGTTCAAACCTATTCTGTATAACTTCAAAGCCAAGTTCTTAACTGCTGCTGTAGAGGTGTGGACTGCTAAAGAGGTCTTAGAGATCATCTGGTCTCAAATGTACAGAAGAGAATAGGGGAGGCCCAGAGAGGGATGTGACCAGCCCAGCCTCCCTCCTCTCACCCAGTGTTGGCTCTGGGTTGGGACCCAGTGGGTGTCCAGATGCCTGACAACATTCTCCAGGCCAAGGTATATAAGAGCCTTGTGGCCTGGGGATGTGAGGACAGCTGGACAAACAACTTGGGGGCTCTGGGTTCAGTCTCCCGCCAGGACCCTCATGGGGGAGTGGGTGGAGTTCTGAGGGTAGCGGGGGGCGGGGGAGATGGTGGGCCCCTACAAGCACCCTCCCTCTCTGAGCCTGTGCCCAACCCCACATGGGAGAAGAGCTCCATCCCTAGTGCCTGACCAGCTCCAAACAAAAGACTCGGTTGGAGAGTCCAGGGATTGAATTGTGATCAGCAATTGGGGTCATCTGGTTAATAAAGAGATTCTCCACCAGCTAGCTCATGGAGAGTTTCTGGATGGAAATGCTGCTGTGGCAAATGATTTGTAGAGCCAGAAACTATCCTGTAGGGATATTCTGGGTCATTAAATACTCAGATTTGGACTCCCCTGTGCTGGCTGGAATGTGGACTTAAGTTCTGGCCGTGCCCACTGAGAAAGGGTCAAATCTGGAGACCTCCAACTGACGAAGAGCCGTAGAACCACACGCCATCAGAGACGAATGCCATGACACAGGTGAAACTTCTCATTGTGCAGATAAGGAGACCAAGGCCCAGAGCAGGCAAGGGATTTGTCCATGATCACACAGCAAGCAAATCTAGAAGGAGGCCCTCTTGATTCCATTGCTCTTTCTACCACACTAGCAGCCATCACATATCCCAGATTTTCTGACACATCCAGATTTTGTATAATTTTATTCTGGTAAATAAGTGGGATTTAAGGTGTGTGACTACATGTGATTTTGATTTTTATTATTTTGTGAGACTTTTCAAATTAATAACTTACAGATCAAAAAACAACAACAACAAAAAAAACAAAAAAACCCACTCTTGCTCAAATCACATGCCCTAAGTGTGAGTTTGAAATGACTGACCTGGAGAGAAGTCTGGTTCCAAGTGCCTGCCAGGCCCATAGCAACATTCTGAGCAAGGAGCCAGATTGTGAACTCTGTGCTTTGTGGCCTGGCTATCCTGGCCAATGGGCGGTACAGAAATTAGAAATTCATCCAAAGACTGCCATTTAAAGGCTGGGCCTGAGTCCAGTAACCAATGAGGTGGCTCAGCATGAGGACTCTGCCCAAGAGAGGTGTTCCATATTGATGGAAATTCACCGAGCCAGTTGGAGGCCCAGCTCAGGGACAGAGAGAAGGAAGGAGGGAAAGCAGGAGGAGCTGGAGTAGTAGAGGAAGAAGCAGAGATGGAGAGAGGGTGGACTCCAGAATGGGGATTTGGGAAAAGCAAGAGGAATGGATCATTTGAGGGGGCAGTACCTCCTGACCACCATCCCAGTTCACCAGGACTCCTGACCATGTGATTAAGAAGTGCTTTCCTGGGTGTCTTCCCTTCCCTTTCTGTGTGTCTTTGCAATAAACACCTTGAAACAGCACAGGAATGGTCATGGCCAGGACATCCTGGGAGCCTCCCTGAATTCTGGGCAACTGAAAGATGCGGGTGGGGTGAGGGGGCTAGTGTTCCTCCCTGAGCCCAATTCTTCTCCCTCCAGGTTGAGACCCAGTCAAGCCAAGGGTGGGTATTTGTGGCCCCACTGTCAGCTGACCCTAAGGCAAGTGCAGTGAGGTTGGGGTGGGGAGAAGTCAAGTGCTGGGCATGTATGAAGGGCAGGGGTAAGAGAAGGCTGGTGCAGCCTAGGAACTGAAAGAAACAGAATGAGGCTGGATTTCAGGGTGCAAGGTGGAGGGTGTTAAAACCTGAAACAATTGAAGCAGGTTGGGGCCTGATCATGATGGGCCTTGTGAAAAGAGTTTAGACTTCATCCCAATGGAAAGTCACTGAGAAGTCGAAGCAGGGGTGCAATATGATCTAGTTCATGTTTATTAAGCTCTCTCTCAAATATGTAAATACAGATTTGAGAGTAATTAGCTCTGTGGCTGATAATTGAAGCCCTGGAGTGTGTCTGGGTTTTCCAATATGGTAGCCATTGGCCACTACTGAGTGCTTGAACTGAGCTAGTCCAAACCGAGACTAGCTGTTAGGGTACATACACACAGATTTTGAAGACTTAGTATGAATTAAAGGCTGGTGTTGGGAAGGAGCCAGGAGAGAGGGAATGGGCAGAGACCCAAGGGGGAAAGGGGCTGGCTGCTGGCAGGAGAGGCTGGATGCCAAGCCCCAGTGGGAGGACTGGACGTTCTGCTGTGAATAGAGGGAACTTGGAAACATGGTAGCAGACATTGATAGCGTTCAGCTATGGCTACAATTTTCTCAGTTAAGTAGGAGACAACGCTGTCCG